ACGGCTTTTAGCGCACCGTGATAGCTTCAAGCGCGTCAGATTGTTTATAGTGAGGAGAAAGTGCGCTGAGTCGTCGACCTCACTCTCCCTTCCCATCCCCACACCCCAGCCGCTGTCCGAGCCGGTCAGCAGACTGGAGTGGCGAATGGACGCAGTGGCTGACATGGTCGACTGACCATACCTGCGCGCGCCACAGCACGACCTGGCCCCCCATACAAACACAAACACCAGGATTTCACACAACGGGGGTTGAACGGCGTGTCTCCCACTTGCGTGTGAGGGCCTTGGAAGGTGCTGCTTCATCCCGTCCCCAGCCCACCAGTCCGCCACTCCACACAACACATACACACACAACGTGACGAACTGCGTGAGCCGAGAGCGGGCGTCGAACAGCAACCTTCCTATCCACGACGCTTGACGTGTCGGGATAGTCTCGGACTCAAGTCGCCCGTGCAGCCGAAGCCGCATGGGGACCCAGTCGAGATGCACACTTCCCACTTGCGTGGGAGGTGGCCGTTGGTGCATGCGGTGGGTGAGTGTGGATGTGTGTTGTTAGTGGTGGAGGAGAGTATGGAGTGTGTGAATGTGTGGTGTGGCCGGCGGTTGTCTACCGCAGGTCGTCGTGGATGCGCATGTGGCCGAATAGGCCCATACGGTGCCTGAAAGTGCGAGGACAGTGTGGGCAGTTGAGTCGAGCTTGGTGGGTGTAGGTTGGTGCTCCAGGCACTGGTTCGCCAGTCTCTGTGCGATGGATTCGCAAGTGACCGACCAGGCCGATGCGTGAGGTGAATATGCGTGGACGGTGTGGGCATGTGAAGGCGGCGGTGTCAGTGTCAGCTACAGAGGAGGTGTTGGTGGTGGTGCAGACGGATGGTGCGAGGGTGGTTGGGCATGACGGGCGTGGTTGGTGTATCGGAATTGTGGTCAATTCCGCTCTCGTGGATGCGCATGTGGCCGAATAGACCCATACGATGCGTGAATGTGCGAGGGCAGTGTGGGCAGTGGAGGCGAGTGCGCTGGGTGTAGGTTGGTGCTTCAGGCACTGGTTCGCCAGTCTCTGTGCGAGGGATTCGCAAGTGACCGACCAGGCCGATGCGTGAAGTGAAGGTGCGATCGCAGGACACACACACACACTTCGAGACCCAGAAGTCATACCGGTGAAGACAAATCTCATATCTCCATAAGTAGACTGTAACATTAAGAGGGAGTTTGCTAACAAGATACCTTGCACAGCAGGCTGAAAGTAAGAGCATTAGGGATGGCTATTTTGACCCCCAAAGCTGTGAATATAAACATAGGTACTGTGACACTGGCAGGCAGAGGTTCCAGAAAGCGCACATGAAATTCGACTTTTTCATAGGCATATTTGGACCAGACTAGGAATCATAACATGTTTTTATACTTACAGGAGTCTCAAAAGTCGACAGGTTATTGCCCTCTGTACGATCCCTATTGAGTTGGAAGAAGCCTACGACAGGTCCTTTTCTTCGACTCCCCCGACCCTACCCACGAAGGCTATACCCTGAGGAACTGGAGAAGCCCGACGAAACCCACTCCACGTCCATGGACCAGCTCATAAGGACCCTGCCAAAGCCTCGATCAGGCGCACGTATTCTGCACATTCTCGAAGTTGAAGGCGAATTTCAGGGGTGTCGGACTATTCCAACGAAGTATGTCTATCAAAGATTGCATGCTATCTGTTATTCTTCGCTATTTTCAAAATTCTTGTAAGTTTCTACTGAAGACAGGTTGTCAACCGTTGCAGACGCTGCCTGTAAAGACGACGAGATACTCGTCCGCCGGCAAGTAAACACAGCCAGGATGAAGTTGAGTTGTCTCTGTGCATACTTCCTCACACATAATAGTCACTTATGACCAGGAGTATAATATCAATTTCTTATGTCAGGGAACTTATACACAGCAACGCGGTTGTAAGCATTTCAGATTATCTTAGCGAAAACGATGTTCTAGAAAGTTGGAAAGCTTGCAGCTGGATGTCCAAACTGTTGACAGTCTTCTACATTAAGGAGATGAGGAGGTGGGTACACATTGGGTTTGGGGACATTGAAGCGTTCCTTACTTCTGGAGTTAGAGGTTACTGTAAAGACTGACAGTATTTTAGTGCTCAAAAGCAATAATAAATTTGTTGTAACGTAGATGTGAAAGATAAGTGAGTACAGTATAAACAATGACATATAAAAATCGTAAGTTAATAAACGTTTCGATTAACAATGCTGCTATTTGTGGGGTGGATTGTCTAGACATAGATACAATGAAAATAAAACGTGAAAATTGAGGAATGCAGTTCACACTGTTTATAAGGTAAGGTAATTCAAGGTAAGGTCAAGGTACCTACACAGCCCACAACCCTGCAGTCCATAACCTGCTTGGAATCGTTGTTTTTGCTTAACCCTCGGTAATACTCCTTGCAGGTGCTGCAGCAGAGCGGCTTTCACTGATATGGCCTATGTGGGGTAGTCTGACGAAGGAAGCGTCCTTCTTAATGCCTTCTTTACTTTCACAAGTGACTTGCCGGTAAGCACAGTCATCGCGGTCTTACACCGTTTCTCGTGATCATGGGACTTCCCCACACATATCGACCACCCAGCAAGTTGGGCATTCACAAATCCTCTGGCGACACATGACTTGTCAATAATAAACCAAAACCTTCATTTTTAACGAGTCTCAAGTATTTCTATGTCAGTGAGAGCAGTACAAATAGTCACCGCCTTCACCTACTGGTTTACGCCTATAATACACGATCGGTGGCCACTTCTGACACGGTGTACGCTATTGCAGCCCTAACAAACAAGTATCTGGTACTTTGCATCCACAGGGTGCCAACACAGCTGATTGACTCCCACCCACCAGCATCGAAATTACACCTTTCAAAAATTTCCGCTTTCCGAAGAGCTTGGTGTTTTTTTGAAACATTAAGAACATGATTTGTCCCAGTCATTTAAAAGCTTCTGCCCCCCTCCCCGGCACATTCTCCTCCGAGGACCAGGAGTGATTTCCTGGACATTTACGAGCCTTCCGCCATGAGGGAGAGCTTTGTGGATGTGATAAGTGACCAGTCGGGGAAGTCTTATTTCTGCAAGTGGTTACATTTGGATTGGAGGTAAGTGTCCAACTGCAAGGGATTGGGTCTCCTCCGATGGCCTCTGTGAAGATTTTACTTGGCCGAGCTCCCAAACAGGTGATACAATTCCTCCTTAAAATTGTCGTAATCTGTGTGAATTACGTTCTGTTTTTAAAACCTTCATCTGAATCACGCTGATCACATTTCTAACAAATGCTGTTTCAATCGCTACTGAGCTGCTGATTTAACTTTAGACGTCTCCAGCTAAGGTCTGCATTGAGCATTCATAAATCTCGTCAATCACTCACTGAAGGGCGTCCAATTCCTGTCAGAATTTATTAGCTACAGGAAGTTTGGAGGTAGCACCTTAACCGAAAACGGTAATTGAACGTGTGCCTTCTTTTGCTGCAGATCCTCCTACGTGCCTCCACCGATCGCCTATTGGGCCGATCCCCGTGGATTTATGACGATTCTAGTGCACCCCAAGATGCTTAAAAACCACTCGCCAACCTTTGTAACAACTGCTATCGACCGCCTTCATGCTGCGATTAAGTGGCCGGAAAAAGTCTTTCCGAAGTTTCCCCTGGCTACTTATCGTCAGGAGGCGAAGCCGCTTTTAAATTTCAAGCGACCCAAAGAATTGCAGACCGAAAAGTACTGCAGGATTCGAAAACCAAAATGATCTACCTCCTGATTTCCGATATTTTCAGATTTCCTCTTCATGACAGGCACATCTACCTATAGTACTTTCATTATGCTATTTGTGCCTTACTTTAAAGACTGGCTTCTTTTGGCCTTCTTGAGTGGATTTTTTTCCATCAGATTTCTCCATGCTGACTTTACGCCCTGCTTTTGGTATGCCCAGTTAACTTTCAGGGGAGATGTCTCCCTGTTTTCTATTTTCTAAGCATAACTTGAAATAATGATGTTTTAACAGACTGCCTTCTGTTTCTACCGAAGTAAAATCTGTCTTTGGATCAGTGTTTGCATTGCTGCCTGGGTGTGGGCTGGAAATTTCGCTTGGAGATTAAGGCGTGCCTGTAGGTGGGGAGGAATCTAGGGTACTCTTGAGAATTCTACTGGCTAGGTTCCTGCGTGCCGATGACCTGAGCCATGCCTACACCAAACTGGACTGTCCACCGTTTGCTCATTTATGCCTTTTTCGGAAAGTAGAACGAGCATATGACGGTATCCACTTAACTTCCAGTGCCAAGCGGATCTTTGCCTCGAGTCATCCTACGTAGGTTGTATTTAGATCAAGACAGACCGGAAGAATGCTCAAGTTGTTTGCGAACCTTTGGGGCAGGGTTAAGTATATGCGCGGGATAAGAAAATGTCAACTGTCGTTTGCCAGCGTCTTAACGCTCCTGCTTTACTGGCTGACGCACACATTCCATTCAAAAACATTTCAAGTATTTTTTACTACCCGACTGCTTTCTGAGCCGGACTTTTTCAAAAAAAATTAGCTTTCCTCTTGCGAAAGTATTACGTGTGGGGGTACAGAAAAATAAACCAGTGCAGACATTTCAGCAGAACCGACTCATCGAGGCGGTGCAGGTCATCGAATGCCATCCTGCCGAGAAAGGGCCGACTTAAAAACTTTATCGAACAACACCTACTTTTAAAAGTATTATGGGCAACTCTCCCTAATTTTTCCTAACCCCGCTCACAAGCTTCACCCTTATTATCTTTGGGTTAATCAGGATGCCGTTACATGTCCAAAAGAACGCTTAAGGCCTCGTCCAGGTCCTGTGGGGTGTGTCACTTAGAACGATACTGGCCCTACTCTGTCCGTCTGATAGCAATTTGACTCCAATATTCTCAAATTGTCCTTTCTCCCAGCCGGCAATCATCACCGTTTCGTCGACAACAAAACTAATCCGTGTCCGTATTCTTGATTTCCAGTTTATTTCCTCACTTGAGTCAATATGTTTTGTGTGGATTCATAGCCTGAAGCTTCTATGGCAGTATTACCCCTCACAGCCACGGTCAGTCAGCCGGTGTCCAGATGCAGTTCTGACTCCGTAAGGGTCTCTTCGAGCCCCCTCAAGAAACCGGCGCATTACGTATATAACTACGAGGAACAACAATTCACAGCCCCTCCGAACGTCTGGTCAGACATCGCAGGGTTGTTAGAGGCCCACGTGAAGCGGAAGTTTGCCCAAATAGCCTCAAATAAATCTTATAATCTATCTCGAAGCCTTGCTATTCCTCATTGGAACTCAAGAAGAAGTCACGAAAACAGACTATTTTCGAGTGCTGCTTAGCAATGACGAAAGTCAGCATTGCAGAATCTGGCTCAAGTTCGTTGTCTAGACGACTTTTGATTCATTGAGCAGTTTCCCTCCCTGCAGTGCTGTTTACGAAGTCTGAGAATCCTGCTGGTTTCCTTTGCAGATAACAGCTTGAGATACAAACTATTCGCTGCAGTCCCAGTCTTTCGATTGAATTAAAAAAAAATTACCGAACTGTCGTACTCACTCAACTTTTTTGATGTGAAGAGGTGTGTGTGTCACTAGACCTCCTGGGTGTGAGTTTTCAAGGGCGTGTCAGTTTAAGCAGCATATCGATTTAGATTTCATTAATGCGTCCCTGATGACAGTTTAGGCGTTTCAAACGACGGCATGCGTCGTTACGCAACGACAGGGGCCCAGCAGTGGTGACTCGCACGAGAATTAGTTTACAGCCAAACACGACCTCGTCCCCGCATGTACCAGGGCGGCTCGGATCTCGCATGCGTGAGGGCGCCATAAAGGTCACAACAGAAAGCAGCCACTGCGACCTGGCTCTCAGTCCCTCGGGACTTGTCCCACCACTTGGCAGCCTTCCAAACCACGTCTATTAGGGCGTGTCAGATTTTTTATTGGTGAAAATGAGATGATGTGCAATGAGTGACAGAGAGAGAGAGAGAGACTGATCAAAGAACCAAACGGACTAGAAAATTTTCTCTTCTCTGTTCTCCTTCGTACTGAGATGTCTCCACCTCGGTCAATTCCTGATCTAGTAAAGAAACTGTTTTTCTACTTTTTTTTGAGCGGTTGGCTATCGATGAATTCCCAGCAATCGAACTTTCAAGAAGCGTGGGTTGGACTGACTTATAGCTACCACTCGCCTTCCCCCCTCCACGCCCTTAAATAGCTCTTAGGATCACCTATAATAATATGGGGTTTGCCAGTAGAGGCGAAGAGACGAGTCCCACGAAGTATTCTTGAAGAAGGAGACACGGCCGCTGGGACAAGCCTGACGTTTAGGAGTCCTGCTCGAACCCATCATCCGAAACAAAAGCAGATAGGGCTTTTGACCTTATGGGCTTTTTGGGCCGCGCCAACCCCTCGGCATTGTATCACTTGAAATTCTTGAACACTAAGCAGCACCCTCGGACAGCTTGGTGATACCCACTGTCAGATCTATCCAGGTCCCTTCACACTGAATCACCCCGTAAGTCGGTGTAGAAACTGACGTATTGGATTCGGCGTTTAATTTGGTTTTATGCTTCTCAACCGTCGATCCGACGTTTTGTTGATTCACGCATCTCTCTTTCTATCTCTTGCTGTCTTCCTATAATGTGTTGGATTTATTTAAAAAAAGTAATATCTACATGCTCAAACTCATTGAAGAAACGGCCTCATTCTTCCAGGCACCAGTAAGGAAGTTGGACACTGTCTGACATGGTGTGAAGGGACCCGTCTACGTGTGCTAGATTCACATGACAGTTCGACCGTCTTGACCGACGATGTCCACCGTGTGCTCCCCAGCAGGATTAGAGTAGGGACGGTGACCTGCGCAGGAGCTAGATAGTAGACTTGCACTGCATCTACCGCACGCACTCCCTCCTCACCCACCTGAGCCCGGTGTCAAGAGAGAGTGAAGAAGACCGGAGGCAGTATCAAGCGCGGTAGCAGACAAAGCTACGATAAGTGGGCTGACTCATGAAATGTCAACCGAAATTCCGAAATGCGTTTTCGACACGAAAAGATTAATTAAGTAGGGTTTTAAAACTAGACAGCCC